GTATTTCAGTGAAGAAATTTTTCGTATTACCCAATCTAAACCTTCCCTGGTGCAATTTGAGGCCATTTCCACTTGTCCTATCATTTGTTACTTGTGAGACTACACCCACGTCTCTGCAACTTCCTTTCAGCTGGTTGTAGTGAGTGATAAGGTCTCCCATCAACCTCCCTTTCTGCAGGCTAAACAACCCCAGTTCCCTCAGCTGCTCCTCATAGGACTTGTTCTTATCTCCTGTTGCATTTTCAAGGAAGTTCTTACACTAACACTACACTAACACATGCCTTCAGGAACAACCTGAAGTTGCTATAAATCCTCAGAACAAGGCAAGATCTAAAGAAACACTGGGGATAAGCCTGTGCCACTAGCAAGCTAGTAGGGAAGTCACCTAAATTAGTCATATGTCACTCAGACTTTTCAACACTGAATGTTGGTACTTAAAGCCTTCTGTTATACTGTTTTTTTGTTCCTGGATATAGGAATTATACACCAATTTAATTCCCCAATTAAATATTTCCTGTTCTTTTTTTTCTCCCCCATGGTTTTATCCTGTTGCAAAATTTGGGTTTTTTTGTCTAGAGTACAGCATCATGATATATTATTACTTAGTTGAAAGTTGCTGTAATGCACAACTTCCTTTATTCTCCTCCTAGCCCCACAAGGATAACTGTCACACTCACCAGCTGGTACTACCTAGATTAAAAATAGACATCCATTGCACAGTTGCAAAATTCTCCCGAGGATACCAACAGCAAGAGAGTTGGCTACAGTTTTTCATACAGACAGCATCTAGAAATACATTAGAAATTACAACCCTCTCATCTTCTAATTCTCTTAACACTACTCACTCTTGCCTTGCCCTCAGTATCTATTTCTACCAACTCTTCAGGATAATCAGCTGCCTGCTACCAATTAGTCTTCATAAACTAGCAAGGATATAGCCCCATTAAATTGCTGGCAATAGCTGTAAAGGTTTTAACTGCTCAAAAGCAAATTATTAACCTCTGGTTCACCAGGAATTTGTATAGGACTCATTTTCTGTTTCACACTTAGATGTTTGTAAGAGAAAGAATGTCAAAACTCTGAGGGTGTCTATCACTGTGTTACCAGTAAGAGATTGTGAAAAAGACAACCAACTGGTAAAATTCACCTAGAAAGAGCAATGTATTCTCATTTCAAGTAAAGTTCTATCTGTTCAATTATATCTTTAAAACAATAGATACATTAAACCTACCTCTCATCCTTAACGCAATATTCAAGTGGAAACAGGATGGTTTTAATCATGTGGGGATAATATTGAATGTCAGAGATCAGAGTTAAGTTTCCAAATTTTTTGCTGGCTTTCTGGGTTGAGTAAAGCTTTCTTGTGTTTCAGATGAGGACCATAATCCCTTTTTTTCTCATTTTGCCTGTCATATCATCAACATTCTTTACTTGGTTTGTTGTTTTTTTTAAGGTATATTTCATTCATAAGGCAGAAACTTAGCAGAGGTTTAGGACCTGTTTTAGCAATGTCAGATTGCTACTCACCACTTCATCTCCTAATGAAGCAAGATGCAGGGCTGTGCTTTCCCCCTAAGATAAGAAATGCTGCCCTCTTAAAGTTTGAACTCCCGCCATACAGAGATGGGGTATTTTATAGTGTTATAACTCCCTGCTGTAGGTCAAGCAATTCATGTGGGCTGAGGCCCATAGGTGCTACTATAATACAAGACAATTAAAATAGCTAAGAATAATGCTATATATTTTACTATGTTAAAAAGGAGATAATGAAAAATCAAAATCAGAAACACAAGAGCAGACGAAGAAGGGAACTCTGTTTCAGGAGGCAGGAGAATCTCCTCGTGCCCTACCATTAGAGGCTGTGCTCTTCATTTGCACTCTTATGAACCTGCCCAGTGCTGCACCACCTGCTCACACAGGTTCAGGGACTGTAATTTTCTTCTCTCTCTCTCACACTGATCTTCCTGAACCTGGGGCTTTGTAGTGCACAGCCAGTGCCTGGCTGTCCTTAGACACTGAGAACTGGTGTTGAGGAAAATTAGCTGTGTGAGGTGTGGAGGAAGCTAGTGTCCAAACTGGATGGTTAGCAGGAATTTTCAGTAAAGCTGCCTGTGATAATGATCCTCAGCTGATTGTGAGGGCCTGCTTTGGGTTAACAGTACAGAGATATATCAGCCTGCTAACAATATAGCTGAATGTATCTTCTTTCAGCATCTTGAAATGATCAGTGAGGAGGATGCCGGATTCTCTTCTTGGAGTTATTTAAAATAATCATCCTGCATGTTCTGTACATCTGCACAAGACCCAAGGTCTAGAGAAGCCAGTATCAAGTAGTATCCATATTTAAGGAAATAAAGTACTTACTCATTCAAACCCCATGAAACACAAGGGGAAATATAATTTTTCATGTCTGCTTGATAACTGAAGAAAACAATGAAATACAGCTTTTTAAATACATACTCCCTCACAATAATTTAATAAACCATGCCGTCAGTCTCATAAAAGAATTGGGATGGTTGCCGTGGTGACACACATTATCCTTGTTGCTGCTTGATTCTGTCATTTTTCTAAACAAAAATTCATAATATTTAGGATTTATTAACAGTGTGTCACACAGATAGAGATAAATTACATGCTTTAAACTGCCCATGTAAGTCTTCTATGATATTATACCTGCTTTGTCAACTCAGCAATAAGATATGATGTGATTACTAGAAAATTAGAGCTATTTGTTATAAAAGATGAAGCAGAGAGTATCAAAACTCTCAGAACAGGAAAAAAAACCCCCTCCAATAACCTAATGTGTTTCCTTATTTTAAGTATCTTTGCATTATCAGAGTCACTATTTTCTGTCTTGTAAATTGATCAAGATCACTATATATTGTGACTAGGTTTATTTGTGCTGGGAAAATTTAGTCTGTAATGTATCAGAATTGATGTGTTCCAGGCTGCAGCTTTTTATGATGGTTCAAACTATAATGGGGAGCCTGTGAAGTGATCTTAATGATGTCACACTTTGCAATGTATAAAAATATATATGCATACTTCTGTATTATGAAGATGTATTTCAGTTCAAGGAATTTGTGTAGGGTTTTTTGTGATGTGTGTTATCCTAATTGTGGCAGCAAGTTTGATGAGATTCTCAGAGCAGCTGTCGAGAAAGTATCTTTTTCTGTATTTTACCAAAGTCTTTGTGTCAAGCAAGCTTCACTGCTGGTACAATGTGGGGCTGATTTAGATGGCCAGCTCTACAGTCATTGCTCCATACATAATTTGCAGTCAAACTAGCAATAAGAAATTCCCTAAAACCACCATAATTTAAAAAGCTTTTTTATGAAATAACAAAGGTTTATACTTTTCTTTTTTTAAGAAAAAAGCCTATTTTCTGTAGTGACATAATAGATAATGGGAAACCAGTGGAGCTGAGGCATCTTTGCTGAGGCAAGGAATATCTGTCTGTGTAGATGGCTCTGCCCAAAGAATGTGATTTATCATTTAGTGGACCATATTCAACTCTGTGTGTAGGATGATTTCTTGGGTTGGATGAGATATGTCTCCACTGTATGTTGCAATGCAGAGGAAGTGACTCAGCTTTCTTTAAATGCACTGTCAGGGTTTGGAGACAGTCTGAAGCAGCGGCATGGTAAACCGTGCAAATGCGCTCAGAATCAAGGACCAATCCTTGGATTTGTAGTTCATTTATTGTTCTATGAATCCCAAATGTTGTGATTAGGAAGAAATCATGTCATATTGATTTACTGTATTTCAGTTGAGGGTAGATTATTTTTCTTTCTGCAAATATATGAGGATTTTTTTCTATCAACTGAGAGAATCCAGCTGCTGTGTTTTCAATCTTTTCCCACCTGTTTTGCTTATAAAAGGATGCATAAACTAGTTTAGGTAGCATAAGTGGTAGGAATGGTGCAAGACGACAGTCCAGTCATCTTCAAGGACCAAATCTAACCCTGAAATTCAAGGAGGCATCTCCCATAGAATCTAGTGAGATTTGCATGTGCTTTTGTCGAAGATGAATTTGATCCGGTATTTTATGACAGTTTCCTTATACAAAAAATACAGCACAATTCTATAACCTGGCACCCTGTATAGTCTTAATGACTTATTGCACACCTATAATAAAATGCCTTTAAATTTCCTCCACTGTATGCAGTGCTATGCAAGCTTGATATAATTCTGGTTTTCTTTTTCTCAAATTCAACATTTCAAATATTCAAAATTGTCCTGGTTTTGGCATAATAAGAGCAGCAGGAAAAAATCAGTTACAGAGGTATGTAGCAGTAATTTAATATCAGTGTCACTGGTGAGGAATTTTATTTGAAAGAGATGGCACGACAAAGGTAGGTACTTTACCACATCCTCTTCTAACAAGGCAGTTCTCAGTGCTTTGGTATACAGCATGATTAAAATGAGTCATTCTCCGAGACAACGATCCCTAACCTGGGAACTTTTATCTCTGTAATTTGTAAGCAGCATTGAGTCTACCTTTTATTGTGTGTTGGAGCTACCAATTCAGCATGTGACCTTTAAAAAATTTAGAAAATGTAATAAAAAGAACATAATTTCTTTCCAGAGATAATTTGAAAAACATAAAATACTAATCCTACTCAACAACCCAAGATACACACAGAAAAATATTTAGTAAAAGCTTGTTTTTTCTGATTCATAACCAACACATGTTCCTATATAGCTGTTACAGATCAGCAAAATTTCTTCTTGACTTTAAAAGTAGCTGTATTGCTCAATCAATAATGGAATAATTATCAATGTCACTTAATGTTATGATTTTTTCTATGTATATAATCTATGCATATATATAAAATTGAATTTTATTGTACATAATTCTGAATATGCAGATGACAAAGCCATGGCTCTGTTACAATATTTGAAGCACCCTAGTTATCTTCTATTATGAGAATGCTTCTGGTACATTCCTGTGTGAAAATTATTTTAATATTTCTAACTCTACATTCCATTGTATTTAGAAATTCATAAACAGAAACCGGAGAGACATGAAAAAAGAACACCACTAAAGGGTAATTTTTTTCTTTTTTTGTCTGTTTACCTACATACATGTGTGTAATATACAGTATATCTGTTGACTATATATGTTAAAACTATTTTATTATAGAAGCATTCAAAGATCATTTGGCACAGACTGGAAATGATCAAAATTCATGTCTACCTTAGCATTAACAGTGTCATTTTATGTTTGTGTGGCTATATTGTAAATGCACAGTTATAATAAGATTCTCCTGCCCAAACTTATCCAGAAATCTTTTTTGTAGCAAAGGTGCAAGGAAGTAGAGTGCTGATGAACTTCCTCTGGTGCAAAAGACGTGAAGTGTGTTGGGCAAGGAAGAAACTGAATTCATAGGCCAGTGGGTGCCATCCAAGTTAGGAAGTTGTAGTTAACAGTGAGCCAGGTGTGTATCAGAGATAAGAAAAGCCTCCATTTTAAGAACCTACTCTTTTTTCAGGCTGTTTAATCTCCTCTAACTGGCACTTTGCAAAGTCCAAAGAGGAACTGGTTTGGACTGGTTTTCAGAGGTCATGTAAACTAAGAAGTTTCCTGGGATATGTGCAGATTTTTTCCCTAAGAAAGCCTGCTCTGTAAAGGTTAGGCCACATAAAATTTGATGAGCATTTCTCTGATGCACCAGTGTTGGTGCTTAGAAATGGCAGGAGAAAGCAAGGAGGAAGCTTATTAAAAATAATGTGTATGTACATACACACTCCCTCACAATTTCTGTATATATTCTTTATATGTTTTTTATACTGTTTTACACTTCTAGTGCTAGCTTTCCAGTTCTGTGATAATCAGGGTCATCTGGAGTCCCTAGAAATGCTTCCCAACCACTTAATAAATCATGATGTATGAAAATGAATTTTTTAGCGTATCAGTGGGCTAGCCAGGCAATAATGAACTCAGACCCATTAGCTAGGGATCCCAGTTAAGGTCTTTTCAAGCAGTGTTCTAAAACACAAATGCACTTGCAGCCTTGACCAAAATAGCCTTTTGTGTACCATTTCGTCTATACAGAAGTGCATTGCTGTACATAAAAGAGCATTAAAGTTGAGGAAATTATTACTAAGAGGTTATAAGATGCCAGAAAAAATGCATTCAGGTGTCATTAGTTAAGTCCCTTTATGCATATGTCTAACTTAGTCCTTAATTATACAATCACTTACTGAAACAAAGGATTTTTTTTTCTCATTTTTATTTTCATATTTCTCCCAAAAACGCATCTTGTACATAGGAGGAACAATTACAAGAAATCATTCTGTCTGGCCCCAAGCTAGAGCATGATAAAGGCATGAATCTTCAGGGAGTTTTACTGTTACCTTCTAAAGTACCTCCAGACAGCATGTGCCCATACAATCTTTAATTGTTTTTAAATAGGAAAAATCTAGAGGTGAAGTGAATGTTTATAATAGAAGCAAATACCTCAAACAAATTTCAGTCCTCCACCCAAAAATATGGGGATACTAGAGTTTTAAAAATAAATTTTAGTATATTTTTGAACAGTCAAACCCACTGAATCCAAGCCCCAAGATTTACAAGGGAATTCCATCCATAAGCCTAATTTTTAAAAGATTGTACCAAAATATGAGGAGTAGATATAATGTATGGAAATCCCTGGTGGAAGTGGCTGAAATTATAAGAACATTCTTAGAGTACTGAGAGCCAGGCAAACTTGTGGCCTAAAATTTGCTTTTAAATAAATAATTTCATAAACTACTAGTAATAAAGTCCCTTTCAATTATTGTACTTAGTCAAGTTAATCCTGAAAATAAGGAATACTCTCAGAAATTTTTCAACAAAACAATTGCTCATACTTAAGAGCACTGAAATTAATTTATTTCATGTTTATGTGTACACATAAGCAGAAATTCACTACAAAATAGAGTCATTGCTATTTAGTATTTGATGTATTAGTACTTTCACAAGGGCCAATGCGACCCTGGACTGTACTTGCAGGAGCACAGCCAGTCAGTGGAGGGAAGAGATTAATTATCCACTTGTACCCAGCTCTCATGAGACTGCATCTAGATACTGTGTCCAGTTCTGGGCCTCCCAGTTCAGAAAAGCCATCCATAAACTGGGGTGAGTCTAGTGTGGGGCCACTGTAATGGTCAGGGCTGGAGTAGTTGTCTGGAGGGGAGAGGCTGAGGGGCGGGGCTGTCTGATCCTCAGGCATCTGCCTTATGAGTCTCATTTTGTGACGGATTTTTCAAGATTCTGAGCCGCTACTGAAGGCTGTTTAAGAAGCAGGTGTTATAACTGATATTATTATCAGTGAATAAGAGGGAACCATGCAATACTTCAGCAACAAGGAAGAACTATAATAAAATATATGAAGATAAAAGTATCTATATAATTTCTGTCTAACGGAGGGTCCAATGATAATCTAAATGGACTGCTCATTTCTGATTTTTATGGAAAACTGATATTAACAGTAAAATTAATTGGCCTGCATTTCTGGGAAATATCTCTTCTTACAAGTGGCATTGAGAAGGAATGAGAAAAGGTTGATCTCGTGTGGCTTTTATCAAATACACTTCACCAATATACTGCTGTTGGAGTGAGGGATGAAAGAAGACAATGTGATAATGAAATGATATCTCTGACAGCCATACCTTAAACCACAGTGATTTTAGGACAGATGATTTTGTGCCTGTGAATTAGCATTAGCCTGTGGTTTGTTGTTTGTTGGTTTGGTTTTGGTTTTGGTTTTGTGTTGTTGTTTTTTTTTCCCAGAAAGTATCTCTGAATTCAGCCTTATTTGAGAAACAGATTCAGACCCTTCAAAACCACTTCATTTACTAAGCGTAACACATATCTGACCCTCCTGTCCCAATATACTTGTTAATAGGACTGTAATGATAAAGCAAATATTAAACATCACATAATAAAGCTGTATGTATTTTAGCATATGGACAAATTATGAGATTATAAAGACAAATATAATGTGCCCCCATACTTTAATTTTCTGTAGCTGGAAGACTAGATTTTTAAACAGCTAAATAGATAAATACAGCTGGACTATACAAATCCACAGTATACTAGAAATCAATACAAGTTGACAAAATTAGCAAGTTGAATGGTGTATTTATGTTTGACACAGGGCCTGTCTACCCTGATTTCTGGAGGCTACAGATGTACCTGAGTTAACGTTAAACTAGGTAACATGGTACAGATCACAGCATAGCTGCAGTGGCTCAGGTACAGCTGTCAAGTGTTTATTTAGCTCTAAGTGCTTGCAGGCAGACTAGGGTGAAGTCAGTGCTGTGGGCAGTTTGACTTCCACCAGTAGCTGTCAAACCTAAATCTCAGTTCAGATGGATGTAACACTGTCTGACCGCTGCAATTAAATCTAATTTTAAATTGTACAAAGATAGGCATTTAGGTTCACTGCTGAAGTGCGTAACCACCCAGCCTAGGGTTAGGCACTGCAGTGAGCAGCGTGTCTCATGCTGGTTGGGGAAGGTCTAGGCAAACTCAGAGGCAAATCTCTTTCCCCTTCACAGGTAATTGAAGTGGTTCGTAATGTGTGCAGGGGCTCCACTAATTTTTGGGGTTTCCTTTTTTTTTTTTTTTTTGAGTGTTCCTTCTAGAAGAATTAAGTTACAGCCATCTAAGATTACTTCTGAATAAAAGCATCTACACAGAGATTTAGTGCTTTCTGACTAATGCACTCTAACTTCATTGTATTAGTTCATTTATCTTAACTTTCCCAAGTGTTGCTCTGTAGACAAGCACTTAGCTGGAGCAAGCAATCTCTGCTTCATGCTTTCTGCACTCATCACCTGGTTTTATACTGAGAGCAGACTTAAGACTTACTCAGCTGGAAACTATTTTTACTTCCCTTAGTATGGAATTAGTGCCTCCTTATTACCATCTCTTCATTTTGCACTTGCTTTTTTTGGGGTGGGGAATGTCTCTGTCTCAGACACTTTACTGAAGAGAAACTAAATCACATCCCCTGTCACTATGTCTTCCACTTGATGCAAATCATATATATTATTAGATGAATGAAATTTGGAAAAATCTCTCAGATGTATGCTATGCTTCTTGGTTTTAATTTTATGTGAAGTATATAGCAATATTCTTATATAATAGGTTTAGAATACATTGTTAAATTACCTTAGAAGTTTCCATTATAAGCTCCTATTGTAGATTATTTATAAATTTACCACACTCCAGTCACTGAGGATGAAATTTTTTATGCTCATCTTTCTGCCTCAGGCTGAATTTTCATTCAAAGTCATATAAAAATGTTTTAGCAATTTCCTAAATCTAGGTTAGTGAAAATTAGGTTGGGGTGTTATATTTTTTCCAGTGCTAATAACAGTTCATTCTGAGCTTATGCTTTTTTGACATTTGCAAGGAAGTCCAAGAAAATTTCATAAAGTTGGGGGAAAATTTTAGCTTACACAACTGTCATAAAACTAGTTCTAAACTAGTTCTAGTCATTCTTTTTTTTCTGGATGAACCCATAATCCTACCAAAAAAAAAGTGATCGAGTGAGCAGTTTTAGTTCCAACATTTTTCAGCTAAAGAGTGCTTGACTTAGCAGTCTTAAAAACAGTTTTATGTGCTTTGTCTTTGTTTTTTATATGCAAACGAAAATCTTATTAACTCTAATTTGTTTCACAGAAACGTGACAGTATGGCCAGCCTGGCTTATTTCTAAAATCTAATGCTTGTGCCTAAGCTCTGTGTGCTTGAAAAAGAGCGTATATTGAGCATTTTGTAAAGAAATATATCTCCCAGTGACTAAATATGCAAAAGATCTGTAAACAGTGAAGTATTTTCTATGACAGAGCTTTTAGGACTACAGATGAAGCTGAACATTAAAAAATTTCAGGGGGAAAAGACAGAGTTAATATGCCAATATAAAGTCATATTTAAGTTTCTCAGATCAAATGTTTCAGTGGACTTTGGTGGCCCCATTGCACTGTGATTGAAGAGTCAAAAATGGCCAGTCATCACAGCCCTGAAACATGAACCCTTTAATTTTTGGCAACACCTGCCCTCCCCGGACAAGGTTCTGCCCAAAAGTCATAGCTTTAACAGTGTCCCTAAGAGGTAATGGTAAACATTACAATCTGAGATTAGCAAACTCTGAGGCCATGGGGATAACAACACAGAGGACAGGGCTCTTGGACTAACCAGAGATCGCCTTCAACCTATCACTGGGAAAAGAAAAATAGATTATGCTTATGCCAGCCTGGTCTCTGCTTATCCACATTCCAGGCTCCCTGCCCAGATGCATTAAGTTACTTTTATTTCTCACAAGGAGCCAACTGATCCCTTCCCCATGTTTTTAGCTTGGAATCCACACAGATATTAATATTTCCTTGAATTTTAGTCCTTTATAACATTTTGATGGTGTGAAGAAACATTAAATTATTTTTTTCTGTCCACTTTAAATTCTGCTGATAATTCAGTTAGTGTTGTTCAAGGCTCGTTTGGGGTTGGTTGGTTTGGGGTTTTTTTGTTTTCCAGAGCATGAAATAGGGAAATGCTATGGAGAAACGGGAATAAATTTAAAAAAAAAAAAAAAAAAGGAAAAAACCCATCAGTCTCCCTTACACAAATAAGATGTTCTGTGGCTAAAAACAAGCTTTATCATTGCCAGTCTTTTCTGCAAAGATCAGCTATATTTTTTGGCATAGAGACTACCAGGGCTTTGGTCTGATGTGCAGAAGCTCATGTTTCACTGCCATTGAACATCACAGAGCTATTGTTTGCAGAACTCTGCTGTTGCCACATGCACAACTGAGAACACAGTGGCTTGAACTGTTTTGCACAGAGCTAGCACCTGCTAATACAAATGTAAGCTGTAAAAGCATGCCACATTTTCTGCAAAAGTGTTGAGTCTAAATTCTACATGGTCTATGGAGAGAGGAGTCTGCTTTTCCTTGGTATGCTACTAGATGTCCTAAAGCGATTGAATGAGTTACTGTCTGTAATTCATCCAATAATATATTGCTGGTAGTGCTGCATTCTTTACAGACTGTTTGTTTTTTTTTTAGTGTAGATTGTCTATCCACATTCCTGAAAAGCTTTGAAAAATCTCCCTTCAACCTCTTTCCTCTGTACTGCTAATCGTTGTCTGCAATAATTTACCTGTTATGTCTGGAAATGTATTTGGGTAATGCAAACACATTTAAAATGTAATGAAATTACTGAATGTTTGGAATAATTTTTCTTAACGACATGGACCTATATTTTAATGGTAACATATTTAACCAACAACAAATATGCTTGCATCTCTGTGAAATGACGTTTGCTGCAAAGGTGGTGAAAATATATGCAAAAACATTACTGTATTTGTGTATAAAGCTCACAGCTATCTTCTAATCAGAGTTGGGTTTCCTGTGGCTTACTTTCGGACAGAAACTTTAGTATTTTTTCCATGAAGTAGTAGAGGTTGACAAGGAATGTTTTTGTCTAAATTGTTAGAGTGTGGAATAAAATCATGTCCGAAAACATGGTCTGAAAGTTGGGTGGACAACAGAATTCTCAAGGATTCATGTTTGCCTGCTTATAGGAGGATGTGTAGTTGGTTGTGTTTCAAACAGCTGCTCTTTCTGAAGTTACACTCTGAGTAAAAGAGATGTTTTCTTGTTAATCCATCCTGTGGCTGAAGTAACAGCTAAAAATAAAGAAAAAAGAGCATGGAAAGCAATACGTTAGCCCTTTTTTGTTAAGAATAGAAAGCAATGCTGTCAAGGACTGAAAATAATTTCCTCTGTCAGAAATCTTAGAGTCAGGGTGCTTATGTAATGGGGCCAAAAGAGATCCCTCCCATAGATTAGATTAAGGTTGCTGAATAATCACTTATGTTTCAAAAATATGGTCTAACAGCTGCAGGCTTATTAATGTAAAATATTGCTCTTGGACCTGGAATTAAATATTAACATTAGGAATGTCTATACATCATCTAGTATCCGTGACTCAGAGCTAAAATCCATTACTTGTTTTATAAATATTTTTCCTTGATCACTTTGATGAAACAATGAGTGTACATAATACTTCCAGGTTACAGATTTATTGTTGGGATTTTTTTTATTACTTCTAGTAATTCACAGAGACAAACCTGAAAAACAAGAAAAAATTGAGAGGAAGGAACCTCTAAAGGGTATGTATTCAGTATTTTACGTTCTTTATCTTTTTATCAATCATTCAAAATACTATAATCTTATACCCTACCTGTAAATCCCAATTACATTTAAGGATGGAGAAGGCATTGAGAAAGCCAGCTGGAAGGAGAATGACATTTTTATAAGGACTTTGAATTAATCACTCGGCAGAATGGCTAAAATTATATTCAGATATTAATGAATAAGTTTTTAGTGTATTAACTTATGTAAAAATGCCCAGAGCAGAAATAGGTACGTTTCTTATTCTTCTTGAATAAATCCAAGCATAATATTTCTCTTTGGGAATACTTCTGAGCAAAATGTAATAAGTAAATTGTAACATACAGGGCATGGTCCCTGGAGGCATTCTGCTTCAGAGACCTGCCTTAGAAAAAAAAATTCCCCACACTCATTTCAGAAGTATTGAGGAGGGGGTGTTACAGATGATTTACTGATTTGTTGTTGGAGTATGCCAACAGATCTGCCAGTTGTAGGAGTCAGAATCAGGATACTGCTTCCTCTCTACCCACAACTCATGAGTTAGTGATGGGCTCCAAGAGCCACCATCTAGTTTGTTTTTCCCCACACTCATCATGTGAGGGATTTTTTTGTAAAAAAGGGATTTTGTTGGAACACACTCACTTGTCAAACACTTCTAAACCTTCTCAGAACATTTCCTTTACATAAAAATGTGATTAATGAAACCTCAGGCTGGAGGAAGAAACACATTCTGGAAGACCCAATAGGCCAATGGTCATAATAAATCACCCAAAAAAGGGAAGAACCAATATCCAGCCACAGCTAATTTATTTCATATCAGGAACATGAGTCTCACAACTCGGGAAAATGTGCACCTTTCTGAAATCTGTGCTTGATTAGGCCTTTCTAATGGTCTCCAATTGGAGATTTTCCATTTTATATAAATAATTCAAAATACATTGATTTAGTATGACTGACTCAAGAGGTTAATGGCATACACATAAGTTCAGGTTTCTGTTAGAATGAATATTTATTAATAGAAGATGTAATGGTGGTAACAAGAGAAAATTTTCCTGAGATTTGGAAAAATGACAGAGCAAAGACTACAATGTCCCATATAAAAACATGAATATGTCATTAAGATTTCTTCTGTTGTTTTCTGGAAAACTTAGGATCCTCTTCAATTTGATTTGATAGGATAAAAATATTTAATGTTTTTAAAAGTTTCTTAGAACAGGAAAAAATTATCCCAGCCAATCCCAGATAGAAAATGAAGAAGAATAAATATTATTATACTGACTTAACTTGTCATAACTTCTACTAATATTCTGTCTACCTGAACATACTACTAACTATATTTTATGTTAAAGTGATTGAATTATTTAGTTTTGTTATGGAACTATTGCTACAAGTGCTATTAAAACACTACTGTGTATAGAGATTGTCTGTATTCACAGCATTAAGAAACACTGCTTTCAGACTCTATATTTTAAAATTATGACATTGGATATGTGTCTTTCTAAGGCCCTTTTTCTTTTGAGTGGAACTAGGGGACTCCAAAATTCATTGCATCCCTGTATTTTAGCTGCTTATTTGTTACTCTAAATACATACCCTTTTCAAGATTTAGATAACAGAGTAAACAACATCCTATTTTAGTTTCTAATCAACTTCTGTGATGAAGTTTAGGAAAGTTATCTAATGACACAGAGAAGAATTAGAATTTTCTTAATGACTTACAAGTGACTCAGTCAACTATGTCAGGAGCTCATTTTCATGTATTTCATCACTATATTGCTTAAAAACATGTGAGAGCCTGCATATACCCTACCCTTCTTCTTTTGCATCGAGTTAGAGATGGAATTCATGGTGCTGTAAAAGAATTTCCTTATTTTCTTGTGTTTGACAAAGGAGTTTTACAGAACTGGGATAAAATCTTCACAGGAGTTAAAGCTAGCTTGCAGTTTCACAGATGATTTTTCCAAGTGTTTTAAAATCCACATACATACTTCCCATTGTCTGGAAAATTATTGTGTGAAATCCTAAAAAGGGTGAGTGGAAAATGTTATGTGAATGAGTGGATAGCATAATACAGTTCCACTGTCATAATGTTAGTTTTTACTTTGCACAGACTGCACAGCCAGTTAATTATGGCTCTAAGATCATCATTTGCCAGGGACTGATCTCACCTAGTGTCTATTACTAGCTATCCATATCCATTGCTGGTTATCGATTTCAAGCCAGCTGGCCAGTGACAGACATGTTATTTGTGCATGTGATGACCCTATGCTCCAGGATTGATTCCAGGGTTTCTACAAGCCTGACAGAGTCTGGGGTGGCCCAGGTGATGTCCTCTTCTCATACAGGCAGCAGCATTTACTGTGAGCTCTGCCTTAGTCCTTGACAGTTCTCTGAAAAACAATCTTCAGGAGCAAAAGAGACAATTGCAGCAATGATGTGGCTGTAGTAAACTGCTGAGGCTTGGATCGTAACTTGTTAGTAACGTTAGCCAGAATCGTCTGCTCCATGTAGTATGATGTGTGCTGTGCAGATATGCATGGCATAACTCAGGAATAACACAGTTTGCCGTTCTGTCTCCTAAGGCTTGTCTTGGAACAATTATTTGTGAATCTTAGAGTTTTCCACAGGTTATTTTTTATTTAATGTATATGAACACATTTATTCTTTCCTAGTGACACATAAAGACAAACTGGAAAGACAAGAAAAACCTGAAAAAAAGGAAATGCATGCAGGTAATAATTTCATGTCGGCACTTATTTTACATTTTGAGGTACCCCAGAACTAATTCTCTACTCAATTTCCATTTATATATTTTGTTGATTGGAAAAAATATTACGGAACTTCATGAGTAAAAATCGTGAGGTTGTATAAAGATCTAAAGGCACACAGACTGAGTAGCATTTTGTATTCTTTCTGCATGTTTGGGTTTTTGTTTGTTGGTTGGTTTTGTTTTGTTTTTTTTTTTCCTGAAGAAAGGAGATAATATATTTTATACTCTGGAGTAGCATAGTGTCCCAGTAATCTCTGAGTATTTCTGACACTTGCAATAAGTATGGTTGCCATGAGAATACAGTCACCTAGAAAAACACCTGACAACTGGGAAAGAGAAAATGTAACCAAAAGTAATGAGGCAGGCCATGGCGGCGGGGGGGGCAGGGGGCTAAACTAAGTAGGGTTGTTGAATATGCATTGAATAGGGTAGAACTAATTGTTTAAGCAGTTACCTGCAATAAATAGTTATCTAACACTGCTTGATCTTCCACAATTCACAATTCTTACTTTCTTTTGAAACACCAGCACAAGGCTGGGGAGTACGTAGCAATGCTCATGCATACATTTTGGTGTTCTTCATAAAAGCTCATATACCAGAGTCAAATAGGCAAGCTGAGTGTTTTCATACGCCTGGTCCCTATAGGGTACCTCAGGGGATATGACCACATACAAATATCAGTTCTTCACACCTGTGGACAAGCTGTTGTGTAAATATAAATCGCAAAATAATAACAAATCAGAGACGACATAGGAGAATATTCCAGACTACCCACTACTATCCAGCAATTTATTGAACACCTCAGGTGTATTCTGAAACATGAGCCAGAAATCTAGTCGCTATAGTGTGCTTTATATCAATTTGTAAAGTGGAAATTAAAAGCAAACAAAAAGCCCCAAAGAGCATTAGTTATAATGCCATTGCAATTAGATTTGTAATTAATTATAGTGTTTAATCATTCATAGCTGGAAAAACTGTTAGTTGTTATGTGGAGTTCAGAAAATCCTTCAGAAATTAACAAAAGTAATAAACAAGAAAGCTGAAAAATAACAATAAACCAAAATAAACCAATAAATGACAGTATAAGCAAAACAAATGAACCAAGAAACTAAATAAACATGACTCTTCCTGACTAACTTCTTTCATGGCATTACAGTTGTGTCAGAAAGGCCATTCCTCCTCTAGCCGGTGGCAGAGACCTCAGGGATGGCAGACAAGTTTTTCAAAGTTCAAATCATGTGTTTCGGCATCAGCGGCAGACAGCAGCAGCTGAATCAATCTTTCTGCTTATTTGCATGTATAGGCATGGTGCCTAGTTGTGTTTCTTGATCTTTTTTTGTCATTTTTCTTACTTAAAATACAACATTTCTCTTTTCTAATAACCATTCATAATGTTGTTATTTATTTCTAGCTATTCACAAAGAGAAACCTGAAAAGCCAGAAAAACATGAAAAGAAAGCATCTTCTAAAGGTAATGCAGATTAGTATTAGGTGTACAGTTTTAGATTTTTAGCACTTACATAATTTGGGAGAGTGTGGGGATGAGTATTTAATTGTAGTCTATGCTGGACATTTTGTGGGTGCTCTCAATTTTGCTTGAGCAGGTCTTGATCAGCCCCTGAGTGAACTCTTGCTCAGCATATATTTCTTGCTTAGATCTCTTGTTTTGATGCACAGAGGTAATTATAAATCATTCTTGTGGAGCTAAAGAAACAAGCCTATGACTATCATATTTGCATTCCTTGATGTCTTTTCCTTCACAATGGGATTCAGTAATTTGCCTGCTAAGAAGGCTTTCTCTTGTGTGTCAGTTTTCAGTCTGGTGCAGACCTAATGCAATAGTGTTAACTAACTCTAAGTCTAGGTCTTTCATCACATCCAAAAATAGATTTTCATTTTCTTGCCTTTATTTTTTTGCAATAACGTTTTCATTTCAGTACATGATTTGTACTGTCCTCCATGGCAGAAGTGGCTTTGGTTAAAATTTACATATCTACTAATTATCATATATATTCTGAAGCAATATCGTGTATGAGAGGTGATTCTCAGTATTCTTTTGACTGATAATTCCATCTTTTGGACAGGGAGATTTAAAAATTCAATCAGCTTGCTCTGTTATAACATCTTTTAAAGACCAACATATATTATTACTTGACATTTGAATGTTTTTGCTCTGAAGTTTTCTTTTTTTTTTTTTTTCTCCACATGCATTGCTTTTTGGAAGCCAGATATTTCTATAATGAAGTTATATTTCAGTCTTTATTCTTCTTACTTGTACACAGTAAACTCTTGAAGAAAAAAATAAAGCTTATGCAGTTTCTTAATATCAGTCTGTTATAGCATTTGCATTAACCTGATGATGATGGTACATGTGAATTACTTAGGTTTAATTTGAATCTGTTGAGACAATATAGATATAAAAACAAGTCTTTATTGGACTTGATATTACTCTAAGGAGAAATGTTAAACAAAAGGTAAGAGAGAAGAAAGAGAAAAAGTGGAATGAAGACTTAAAGCGTTAAAAAGAATGAAAGGTAGCCATTGTTTCTCTTTAAAAGGGATATTTGCTAATTTTTTTTTTGCTTTCAGTGTATAACCTCGAAGTGTGGGATTTTTTTTATAAAATGAAATTACACTGAACTAATCCAGAGAAAATAAATACCCACGGTGTCTGTGCAGATTTGAAAAGCAAATAACTTCCAAGAATCACTGAGATTTTCCTAATGAGCAGCCAGCCTGTTTACCCATTTATCTTCTGCTAGCTAACCAAATAATCGCTTAGGCCTTTAATGTGTTTAATAGCAGCCATGACTCCAGGCACTGTCTGGAAAATTTTATGAAGAATTTGGTCACTTTGTAGCTAGGGAGATTTGCTGCTGCGGTATGACACATAGCCATGCTACTCTCTTTGGATAGTTTCCATGGCATGGGAGCCCCTGTGGGTGGACTCAGTGCATTGGGGCACTCGTTGCCTTCAGTCCTTCCTAAAGGATATTTCTGCTGGCAGTATGTTGAGCTACCCACTGCCAGGCTCAACCCCCTTTTCTCTGGGTTCTGCTCTAAACTGGATTAGCTACCAGCAGTGCTGAGAGGTCGATTCAAACCCTTGCAGACCCTAGGAAATGAAGATGCTCAAGTCCAGGTCAACTTCAGGGTGCAGGCATACTGAAAAACATGACCCCCACAGTCAGGAGGTTTTCTCTATCATCAATAAAAGACTTAGGGTACTTCTTCAGCCCCTGTTAAAAGCTCCAGAATGCTTCAATGGTATGAATGTTATTTAAACACGTCATCTAAGAAACAGCTATCTTAAGAAAAGAAAAACATGTCTAAATATCAATCATGGATCATACAGGCAGCAATTCCAGGCTGGATTTGAGTTAGTGAAGATGTTGGTTTATGTAGCTATTACTTGAAAAAAATGTAATTAAAGGCTGTTTTGTTCTGGAAATGCATCTGGATGACAACCAAGAGAGGTAAGATAGAAGTCTCCACCTAAAATTTTGACAGCCTTTCTGGGACACAGCAGTGTGTGTGTTTACACAGTGTATCCTGTGCAGACATGAACTCATTCTAGCTGAGCTCTGAAGTGAGCACCAGGCTTGTGGCTGTGTTTGTGTGACAATGAGCCCAAACTAAGAAAAACCCCTCTCTGTAAGATGAATAGAGTCACACATCTTCCTGTTGGCTGGAAAACAGAAGATCAAGCCTGTCTCTGCTCAGAGACAGAGCAAAGCAAGTTGGTATTATCTGGAATATGCAGTATAAACATTCCCCACAAAGTTTCAGATCTGTGTGACTGCCTTATCTTCTGGCTAGATGAGTATCAACAGATATTTTGAAGCTTTTTACCCCAGTGTGTGAACCTGAGAAAAAGAAGCAAGAATTTTGAAGACTGAAAACAGGATATATGAAGGAATGTGAAACATCCAGGGATGTTACAGAATCACTAAGGTTGGAAAAGACCTATAAGATCACCTAGTCCTAGTGATCTACCCAACACTACCATACCCATTAGACCATGTCCTCAAGCACCATGTCTACATGTTCCTTGAACACCTCCAGGGATGGTGACTCCACCACTTTCCTGGGCAGCCTGTTTCAATGCCTGACCACACTTTCAGTAAAGAATTTTTTCCTAATATCTAATCTAATCCTCCCCTGACAAAACTTGAGGCCATTTCCTCTTGCCCTGTTACCAGTTACCTGGAAGAACAGACCAGCACTCACCTCTCTATGACTTCTCTCAGGTAGCTGTAGAGAGTGATGCTGTGTTTTAGCAATATTTTCTGATTCTTTGTCACTTCTTTTACTAATATACAATTTTATTCCTTTCTAGTAATTCAAAAAGAGAAACCTGAAAGACATGAAAAAGCTGAAAAGAAGCCTCCTCCCAAAGGTATTTATTTATTTATACTATTTTTTATGAGAATTTACATTAAAAGTCATAAACCTTTTTTATTGGAGTAGATAATATAATGTGTATGAAAAATCAGCTTCATGACACTATAATGAAATTAAAATGTCTTTAGAGAATCCAGTTCTGTGCTTGATTTCTTTTAAAATACGTTGAATTTTCAGGGATGAAAATTAAAGATATGAACTACCATTTCCTTGAAAATTAAATAGGCCTATCCATGTGACCTGACATATACATTTTCACTATAACTAATTAAGGAAATTCTTCCTTCAATAGCCAGCAATATATTTGGTCATGCCCTGTGTTTGTTTGGAAGTAGGAATTATCCCTTATAAAAATATCTATATTCTGTTTTAGAATAAGTAGAACTATTTGGTTTACATATTGATAAAATCAGTCTCAGCAGCTCAGCAGCTTAATAGAAATAGAAGTCCAGAGTCTTACAGGAGACGTGGATTTTGTAGCATTCAAGTTTTGCCTCAAGGATGGAGACCTTCAGGGCTATGAAGAAAACAGAGGTGTGAACTTCACACTAAACAGATAAGTTTAAACCATATTCAGTGGCATTTTAAACTATTGTTGGATTTTCTACAATAAGTGGAAACTAGTGAAGTGGAATAGAGACACACATATTGTCAGCATCCATGTCTCAGATGAGAAAAAGCTGCTAATACATATGAGCAGAAGGAATATTTCTGGTCTCACTAAACTCTGTGTAGCTTCAGCTACTGATATTTACAATCTGCTAATTCTCCTTGGAAACCGTCTCACACTGCTGGAAGGTGTATCACGAATTGTTCTATCTCACACTAGTCTTTCAGCCCTGGGAATTGGTGCAGAAGAAAACTCAAAAACTCAAGACTTCTTGGGCAGTGACTTAGAATCAGTGCATAAAATCAACACTTAGAAAGAGCCATGTTTTAAATCAACAACACTTACCGCTTACAGCAGAGTTTAGCTCTGATCTCTGAAATCTAAATTTACTCAGATTTAGCCTGGAAGTACTTTCCATATTTGTTTGCTTCATGACCAACATTTGTCTCCCTACCATCAAAGCTAACATATTTTCATTACAAATATTGAATATAATTTGCGATAGCCTGCTTCCCTCAGTATTAGCAAAATACTTGGCACAGGACTGAATATAAAACATGCTTGCATCTCATATTTCTGTCTAAGTGTGTGGTTTGAGGGGGATTATAGTTTTCATCAGATCTGAGCAAGGTGTTAATGATGAAGAAATACTCATTAATAATAGCACAAGATAAAATAAATAGTATTGAGTATCATTCTGGGGGGAAAAAATGACACTGAACGGTTTACCTTTATTACCTGCAGAGGAGAAGAAAGTAAAAAGCACTAAAGTGGAAGCAAAAGTGAAAAAGGAAGTGAAGGATGGAAAAACAGAAGCAAAGACGTCTGAGAAGGTCAAGCAGGCAGAGACTAAATCAACAGAAGTTGGGCTAATAAAGGCCAAACCGAAAGTTAAGGAGGAGAAAGCTCTTCAGACTATAACTAAATCGGAAAAGAAAGGTAAACAAAACCAGGAGGAAACAGATGAAGATCTTAAAAAGGTAGTAGGGAAGAAGCAGAGAGAGTGGAGTTAAAGCTGGCGAGGACCAAAGTCCACTCATTAAAAAAGCGCAGTACAAATTAATTCCACATGAATCAGACCTCTAGAAAGAGGCTATCAAGAATAAAATAATAACCACAATGTTCTAACTGTTTGTCATGGCTAAAGATTAATTTTAGTTTAAATCCTTCTTTTACAAGGACCAATTTCTCTTCAGATAGTCTGTAGCCTTCATGGATTTTCTCAGTAGCATCTTATGTAGTGTATTGCTAGTAAAGTTATTTTGGAAAATACAGGCTGTCAGATGACTTCTTGGGAAATATATTTTGTTTCTACATCAGTGTATGTCCTCTGTAACAGTAAGGAAAGGAGCAGCAGGAGAAAGGGAATGGAATAATTTGTATTACATCAGATTATATGAGGTATTGTCATGTTGTCAGGTATTGTATGACATAATGATATACCTGCCTGATGTAACTTGATGTGATCAGCTTCCAAGTTTCTCCTAAAAAGAAAAAAAATTCCATCACCCTGATGAACAGAAGAAATTAAGTGATAAAACCAAGAATTAACATGCATCAACACTAAATGAAGGTGTTACATACATGCTCCTCTTTGCCAGAGCCAGCCTGGGTTCTTTCACTCCCAAGTTGCAGCAACCGGTCCTGATTTCCCTGTGACTGTTCTATGGTGTTAGGCACAATTCTGTGTGAAAGAAGTAGGCAGAACCTGCCTCTCTGTATGAATTGCCATACTGCAGGCACAGGATTATTCTGACATTAATAGAGGTTGCATTGCATGGCGCACCGATCTGATCCTTTCAGCTGATAACCACAGATAAATCAGTTTGCCTGAGCATCAAAGCTGCCATCCCTGTCTGGATATCTGAATCTACCCAGGCAGCTTCTCTCACAATTTCTTAGCCATCAACTCTGGACCCCTTAGGAGTTGCCTAAATTATATGTTTCTAGAAATCTGAAGGCTTATGAGATATAGTCCCCTTTCTGACTTACCAGTAGTTTTTAGCATTTATTTTTATTCTAGTTAATTTTGGTTTTTACTTGAAATGCTGGACCCTTTGAGGCATAAAATCAAAGCAGCATCTTTCATGCTGATTACTGTGACCAGGGGTAAAGTTCAGCAAATTGTTGAGCTCCTCTTGGGAGGTGCAAATCTCTCTCACTATTTGTTTGCTCTGACACAGTTTCAGCGCACGGTGGGATCCACTACATGCTGTTCAGGATAAGGCTCTCAAAAAGCAATGGTGTGCAGACGAGGCACTTTACTCCCTGACAGCAAAATATTTTAAGTATGGATCAAAGATTACAGAGAGGGGGGGTGTGTGTTTGTCTGTTGGGTTGTTTTTTGTGGGGGGTTTTCCCACTTTAGCTGATAAATGTTAGCAAAATAATCCATCTCAACATCAAACATCAATAGATCACAGTGTAAATCTGCTTTAAAGTGTGATCCCAGTGACAGTGCACTGAACCCTGGCAGGTGAAAGTGGGAATGAGCAGCTGGAGTGGAGGAAGGAAGGAGCCTCTTCAACTGCCCTTGTCACTGGAGATAGGGCTACACATGTTCAGTGAAAAGTCGCCTTTTCTGCTTTCGTCCTTCCTTTTCTCACCATAAGCCATTGCTGCCTAGCTGGATACTCTCAGAAAATTCAGTTCTATATTTCAGTCACACTGTGATACAAAGTAAACATAATTTTGAAGGCAGTGTGGTTTTGCCAAGGTTTCCTGATCCTGCAATCCTTCCTTTCTCTTACTCAAGGGAGTATTCCTGCTAACTTTTCTGTAACAATGTGAAAAATATAACAGTAATCACAGAAGGGTTGTCATGATTTCCCTGCTGTTGCATCATTCCTTACTCAAATTAAAAGTGAAAAAGATAGGTCATGTCCCAAGGTAAATCACATGAGGTGCAATGACAGAAGTATCTATGGCTGTATTAACCAACAAAAGCCTAGTCCAAAACTTCAAAGTGATTTATTAGTACTCAGGTGAATATTTGTGCCACTATTACAGAGTTATAAGGTGAAAACTATAGTTTGAAATTCTCTTTTTAACAAGGGAGTTTAAATTAAAATGAATTTTTAGCCATGAAGAGACATTTGGAAAATAATAATAATTTAAAATTTCTTAGGATTCAATCTTTGCTGATTGCCAGAAATCCCATTAACTTCAATGGGATGTTACAGTGCACCTTATTTTTTCATATACAGTAGAAATGCTATTTTTGTTTTTCAGAGTTTAACATTATGCCTACAATTTTTTTACAAAACCCAGTTTCCAGGGGTTGAGTTACTACAGAAATCCCATGAGAAGATTAATACAAAATCTTTCTTTTCAAGTATAATCAAGATTAAAGCTTTATTTTAAAAAAAAGTTTATTCAAATTACATTTCCACCGAAAAGAAAGACAACGCCAAAGAAAAAAAAACCCCAACAAAACGAAACAACAAAAACCCACAACAAATATTAAAAAAAAAAAGGCAAACAAAATGTACCCCCTCACACCACCCGCCACCCCAAACACACACAGTTTTTTTAATCCTGGTCTATATTGCTATAGTTAAAAAATACATTATTTTAATATCAATAAAATTGAGGGAGTTGATAGAACTTCAGGCTATGTCTATATCATAAGCTAAATAGAAATACCACTGGCTTATGCTCTGTCCTGTACTTGTCCATACACTTTATGTCCCCTGACATAATTTTGTCGCATGCCAGCTAGCAGTGTTGCATACAGCACCCATGAACAGTCCATGGGCTCTTTCCAATGGGAAGCATGGATGAAGGTAGCTTGTTTTGACAAGAAGGGTAAGGAAAACCCAGCTTTGTGGCAAAAGCTGTTCCCTGCCATTCGCTTTCTCAGCTAAAGAATTGGCAGTGGTCCATTTTATTTATTACTGTGAATCCTCACTGAGACCACATTTGAAAGTGCCTTGAAGTCAGTGCAAATACTTTGCCAACTTCAGTGTCTTTAGAGGGGTCTACTAAGAGTACAGATTTGTATGTACTTGTTTTCTCACACATACGCTGCTGCTTTTTTTCAGAAAATTAGCATATAGACTTAGGGCAGATACTGCAGCCAAATTCTCTAGATTCCTTAAGACTGGAATCCAAAGTTAGAGCCAGACAGAATAATAAATTTTAATTCCTACATACAAAAGTAGAAACTATTATGAATTGTCATTAAAGGTTTTAAAAGCAGTTTTTATAGCCGCAGCCCTGAGTACATCCTGAAAGGTTTGACCCAGGTTCTACAATACTAACTAGTATTATCATTGCCATCTCAGTAGCAGGAAAGAGCTGCATGGGTTTCTAATTGGATATTTGCAGAACCTGTCAATTCCTTCCGAATTTCGACAACCCCATGGGAAATCAGGAGTTTAAAGCTAGAGTTCTCCACCTGAGGACTTCTATGACAGACAACCTAACAGAGCAGCAATCGCAGATGCCTCAACATCAACTGATACCAATGTTCCAGTGAACTGTGTAAAACAACAAGTAATACAATGAGTGTTATATTTTGGGGAAAAGAGTTTTGCATTTAAATATAACAGTTATGAAATTTTTAAAATTTTAAGTATTCCAAAGTCTGCATAATTTTGTTTTGAAGTTGGCAAAGAGAAAGTTAATGGCTTTCTAGTTGAGTAGGGGGGACATGCAATGGAGGTGGAGAGAGAGAGACAGATGTAACTTCCGTAGACATGGAAGTGTACTACAACAGTCTAGGGCAGATGGATGAATATGCTTAAATCAAGCACGGTTGGAAACTAACTTAGCTAAATGGAGTTGGTGTTTAGCCATCAACATTAAGTTTCAAAGCTGATGTTCCTTAGAGTCCAGTGGAGCAACGTGCATTTTTTCTGGACAGCTGGAGAATACAGCAATAATATCGCAAATGCTTTGCACTCAGTTACAATTCGTAACTGTTCTTCACAATTCTTAATGTTAGAAAATTTTATCAAGGTTTTCCACTCTGCTTACATATAGAAGAAATCATTGGGCAATTAACATTTCTGAAATCACAGTTTCATTTAGATTCAGAAGCCTTAATTTCTGAAAAGCATCATTTTTATATATATATTCAGATTTAATATATACATATATATATTTGTAAAGATTAGTGTTTGGAGTTACAGGAGTGTAAGTACTCAGATTTCTTTTTATATTCCCTTTCACTAAATGGACATATTGATTAAACTGTTAAAACAATATTAACAAAATATTGTAATATAAAATTTTATTGAATTTTTCTGTCACCTGGCTGCAACTCTTTGAAATTGATTATCAAGTATGTGAGAAAGTCTTTGGGACCTGTGGCCAGGCAGCAGTTTGGGGCACTGGTAGCTTCGAAGTTCTTGGCTGGGAAGCTTGAGGTAGATCTGGACAATAAATTGTCTCTTTCTGAACTTGTGAATTGTTTGAAGGCCAGGACAAAACCAAACGTATAATTTTGAAATGTGTCAAGCACTGCCAAGCTTTAAATTTGCTGTTAAATAGCAACAAAATTTAAAACTTATTTTCTTCATCACTCCTTTTTTTCCTTTTTGCTCTGTTAGATCAATATGCATTCTGTCGCTATGTGATTGACATGTTTGCGCAAGGGGATTTTTATCCAGGTACTTTCCTACATCATTGAACTCTGTTCTAATATTCCTCTCTTTTTCTGAGAGTTTCTGCTCCTTTATGTATTAAAAGTGTGTTTTGTATTGTTGAGAGGTCTCACAAGTGCAACAAAGAGTGTGCAAATAGTTTTAATAAAGCATAAGAGCTAATGGCTGTATTATTAAAGCTTTTAAATTTCTGTCTACAATGCATGAATTAAAATTAATGTTATGTATAAAGTAGAGTCAATGAAAGGCTATAGAAATCGCTAAAATTTTCCATGCTTTTTTTGGCTGAGATGCAAGACGAAAGAGCTTATTGTTAATAGCTTATTGGGTTTTTTTCCCCACAAATAGCAAGACTTAACCCCAGAATGCTTCAAAAATAGAACTATCATTAATGGTTTTAGTATATAAAATGTCTTAGCTGATCCATAACTTCTGGGCTTTATGTTCCCTCTTCCCACATCTCTATGCTCATCTGTTATAACACAGACAATTCTTAGCTGAAAGAAGCAGCTAGACCTACTGATGATGACGGAGCATCATCTCATAATATTAAATAAATCTACCCTGATCTTATTTAATGGACACTCTTCCTTCTGAAATCCAGTGTAAGAGGATATAATCCTAGGAATGATAACCAACAATATTTATGAAAAGAGTCAAGGACAGAATATTTAAGGACAAACTAAGCCTTACAAGTTTTTTTTTAGTCAGTTATTCATTCAAGAAACTCTACTTATACTTCTCTGAACTGGATGTGTTTTCCTATCTATACCTTGTAGGTTGTCTCTTGACATGCCCAGGTATGATACAGTCAGACCTGGGAAGCCCTGAAGTAGTTGAGAAACTCTCAAAACGAGGAGGAGGAGGACACAGATTTTTGTGGACCGAAAATGAACAAGCTTGAAATTTTGGACGGAGAGGGTTTGTGTGGCCTGTTCTCCAAGAATGAAACATAGAGATATGGTGTTCCATTAAAATAGAGCAAAGTGTTATATTGTCTCTAGGAATTTTAAAGACAGACAGTTAAAAACAGATGGACAGGCCTAGGTTCAGAGTGGGAGAAAGGTTAGCAAAACCTTCCAGAGACCTTCAGTTATGCTTTGTTTTTAAAAAATAAACTCTGTACCAGATGCTATTCACCCATTTTCTGGCTTTACACAGCTGTACCATTAATAAATCGCAAGTCAAAGACTTGGTGTGGAGCTCTTCAGGATCTCTCTTATAGTTCTCCTGACATTTGCAAGCAGCTTTGACACATGTCAGAGCTCTTTTTCCAGATGGCTCCCTGGGCTGTTTGACACTCACCTAAGGCAGAGCAGACAAGCTGTGGGAAGGGAATTTTGGAGAAGATTGCTTTTCAGTTTTGACCTTTCCAGCTATGAGGAAACTGGGAAGACCATGAAGAGGAGGAGGGAGATAGAGAGGGAAGTCTGTAGTGACTTAAATTTCAGAAGATAAAAGACGTGACGTGCTCTTGCCTCACGAAATTTGCTTTGTGTAATATCAGTGTGCTGTGAGAGATATGATAAGAAACCACAGATTAAACAGCTGAAAAATGTTCAATGGTCATTGGGTGGTCACATGACCTTACAGGTACAGAACTAGGGTGACAGTTTGAGGGCCCCAAAAGTGGAAATAAGCAGCTTCAATCATCTGATTTGTGGGTGAAAAGGAAGAGGACAGACCCTTAACTTAGGGTCTCCGAAAGTCCACCCATGGCTCCACTTGTAAAGCAACTGCTTTGAGTCCTGCTAAGCCATTTGTCGACATTTGACATTAAATGCTGTGAATGGTTGCTGGGATGGAGCTTGATACGTATTTGTCAGAGGTAAAATAAAGCATTGCTTTCGAAACAAGTTTTAACAAACCCACAAGCTGTGAAAGGCGATGCTGAAACATCCAGACCATGTCTTTGAGAAGCAAGTAAAGGCCAGGTATGCCCAGCTTTGTGCTCTTTGCAGAAATCATTGAGGAGAGTGTCACCAAACATCACTCTGTCTTTCTTACTGCCCCTCTTAGGAAACCTGCTCATTTCACACTGGATTCTGTGAAATGAAATATTATATTACTGTAATTCATTTTCTTCAACAGATAAATGCAGGGAAAACACCAGTGCACTAAGTTCTTTTAATAACCCTAATATCTAATTAGCTTTAAAATCTGCTATACTTTATATTTTTTTTTTAATTTATATATTTTTTAGTAAATTACATGAGCAAACACATCTGAGTGCAAATTAGCAAAGGAATTTAATTACAGTCACCCTTACACTGCGATACTTTCTAAACAGGAATAATTTCTCTCAACCCCAATATTACCATTTATAAAGGAGAAAAAATATTTTTTCTCATAGAAAATTCCTTCACATAGGTATTTGTCTTTATAGGTTTGTTTCCACCAAATATGAATTTCTGTCTTTTTGAGTTTAAAGATCAGTGTCCTACCCATTAGATTTCTTAGGCAAAATATATGGATTTATAATGTCAGTAATAACGATACCATTCAATATTTTTTTGATAGTATTTTTAGAATATTTGTATTATTGAAAAATTCATATTCATTACTGATAACATTAGATTATTTTAGTTTTATGTAAATTTTATGCAAGAATTTATAGCAAAGTAGACCATTTAACATGGCATTTTATAGTGATCAAAAAATTAAAAGTAAAACTCAGATCCTTGGATTTCATTAACTACATACATTTTTCAAAATATATCAATTAATAAATTTTAACAGTCACCTGAACAACTATTAGAGGACAGTTAATGGTCTTGCATTGATTTTAACAAATGAGTCTGAAACATTATTATTTGCTTTATGATTTGTCATGTTACTGCAGACTTAGCACTAAGAAATGAGTGAAATACATGTAAATGGTGTGTGGGTGGTGAATGCATAGGAAGCCATAGAAGGGAGAATTCTTGCTAACCTGCATGAAGCTGGTTTTCTTGTTTCTCTGGACAGCATTTGTCCCTGACACTGACTAGTTTCATGCAGATCCTCCTGCAAATTTCAATAATTACATCAATATCAATTAACTTCCAAGAATTCTATTTTTCTTATTTATAAAATAAATGTATCTGAGGTTCTCAGCCCTCTACAATAGATATCAATGGAGTTTTAGCCTTAAACTCAGATAGGTTTTGTTAGACCAGTAGTCCACCCCACCAATATCATGACAGCAACAGTGACCTACCCTGGATTCTACTGAGACATTTATAGATAACCCTCTTGAGCTGTACTGTATACAGTATAAAAAATTGCTTTCTCATTTTATCTGATGAAGAATAGAGCTTGAGAATATTTTTTACTTTCTGTCTAACATGCGTGTGATAAGTGACAATTTCTCAGAGGGACTGCTGAAACACCTTTCCTCTAAAGGATAGATTTTTTGATTCTATTTATCCCCGGACTACAGTTTCTCATCCAGGTACAACCAGTACTGCCTCAGCATTAACAATTCGCTCTGTCCAAATTGCTTTGTACTCCTTTTGGCTGCCTGTAAATGAAAAATTAAAATGCATCTCTTCCAGGCTTAATTTTCCAAGTTTTACTTCTAAAACTTTAAAACCTAAAGAGGAAAACTTATTTTTTAAGAGTTGCTGAGACATGTTGGTTCTGACTAGCACTTCTATTATTCCACTGGCACTGTTATTTCTGAGGTCCAAGACAGCCTTTCTGATACACAAGGTCACTGACTTTCTTATGTCTATTTTCATGGACATAGTCTATTTCATTTATTTGATAATTTATTTGGTATTACTGAATTTTGTTCTGAGCAACGTTTCTAGTGTTCTTATTCAGATTTTTATATTTTATTGGTAAAAGTTTCTATTTTAGTAGAAACTTTATTTTCATAACTATTTTATTTCCCTTAGAGAGTTTGAAATCCTCACTCATGTGGATGGATTTCAGAGTCACTAGCTGGTCACTCCTTTAGTATGTAACACATGCTTTTCTTAGTTAGCTGGATCTGCTCTATTTTATTCCCTCTGTGTCATACTCATGTTTTACCACTCCTCCCCTTCTTTCCCTCGAATGTTTGTCAGCTTGCTTTACGTTTATATTTTGTGAACTACTCTGGATATCAAGGAGTTGTTCCAATGAAATGTCTTTTTTTGCAGCTACCAAAAGTGGATTCTTGCATGTGTCTTTCTGCATGCCCATCTCAGCATGTGGCTCTGCATGCTGAGTACTGCAGAATTAAGATTGATCAGCATCTCTTGGGTATTTGATCATAACGTGGCACCCTTGTTTCCCACAGGCATACTGTATATTTATGGTCAGGTGTTTATTTTCATTTTAATCACTTGGAATTTTATTTTACATGCATAGTTTCACTGTGTTCTACTTTTGGTTAAACAACTTACATTTCACAGTACACTGGACTCACTGCTAGATGATCTTTACAGTTACCTAACTAATGACAAAGTTAGGGGGGGCACAGATGTGATATTACTGTCAATTTAATGTGTTTAAAATCTTTGCACTGAAGCACCCAAATACCCTATGGAGCTTATATCATTACGTGACTGTTTCCAATAACAGCTAGACTGCAAAAGAATGTGGCCATAACATTTTCTTTCATGAATTTACCCTCATATGTTTATGGTGTATTTCCATGCCAGGGTCTAAAAGCCAAATGATATGGATGATTTTGCTAATCTTATACTTTTGAAAAAATATTTGCCTTGGAGAAATCAATAAAGGTTTCTGGCACATTTACATAGCAAGAATGTATCCTATAGGGTAGAACAGTCATCCCACCTTCTTATTGAAAAATCATCGAAGCTTCACCCTTTGCACATATGCTCATGCAGAAAGGAAAAATATGACAAGCATAGACAGTTAAGAAATTCAGGCAACTTGTGGTGAGAGTCCATAGGGAACCCTATTATCTGCTTGGTCCCAGAAAGAAGTGGCATACCGGATGCCCTTCATGTCTACAATGTTCTTCCAAGGCTTGTCTCTTCCATTATCAGGAAGTATTCAGTCAAAAAGCA